TTAATATCTTTTGGGGGGTATTTCGATATTATTTGTATTTTAATTATAGCTTTGAATCAAAAAATGATTCCCAATGATGCTTCAAATTTGAAATGCATAATTTCATCTTTGCTTTTGCTACTTGGAAAAAAAACGGGGTGTGGGGGAGAGTGACATAAAGTAGGCATTGCTACTATTATAGCTGCTAAGCTACAGCAACAAGTCAGGCTTCTTCCTGAACTCTTAACAATTCAAATAATTTTCATCCATAGATCCTTCCCCAAATTCAGCAAAGAGGTCTCTCTAAGCCCAAAAGATCTCTTTCTAAACTAAATCCAGTTCTAAATTATTATACCCATCAGAGAACCAAACCAAAAACCAATGGATTCGGTTCCCAGTGATCTGAAAAGCACAGTAATACGACAGCCCTAGAGGTGACCATAAGAGTAGCATTAAAGACATTATTAATAAAGGTCATATATAATTAATATAATATCCTATACAAATAAACAAACCGCCTAAGACCCACCAACAGTTGAGGATAAAATTAAAAGTGGTTTCTCCTTCCCTCTGCAGCACTGTTTGCTACTGAACAGTACGATAAAACAACAGTTGGCATTTTAGCATATTTACTTTAATCCACTGGTTAAAGTTTGTAGGAGATAAATAATTTTGATGATTACAAAAAAAAAAAAAAAACTCTGCTTAATTTTTTTCAACGGGAATCACCGCGAAGTGCACTCGCCTTCTCTACACATGACAATTACAAGGAACATCAGAGAATTAGATGTGATTTCTACTTGGCAAGGGCTATAAGTTTCTTCATATTTCACCTACGGGGGACCGTGCAATTCCATAAATTGTAAACCTATTATCGTAAGAAAGAATTCATTACTTTCTGTATGATGATATCAAAAGACAGTGTTATCACATAAAGTAAAACCAAGTCTAGATACGCTGTCATTAATTTCCCCAAATTTCATTAAATAATAAATAAAATAGATACATGAGTAAACAAGACTCAGACTTAGTTATCAATGGTATTAGTACTAATAGCCAGCAAAACGGGAACAGAAAGAAGCCTGTTACCTGAAAGCTCGACCAAGGATGAACAACAGACATCAAGTCCCTAAGACTTGACTGTTTTTATCAAATTGATTGTAACTTGTGAGCTGAGATATTTGGGACAGAACTGTCTCAGTTTATAGTTTTCTGTGCCTGCCAAAAACAGATGCAGACTACCACACTAGCTGTCCTGCGGAAACTAAATTAAGCAAAGGCAAATACCAAGTGGAAAGTTGTCAGTCTGTTGAATGAATGGCTTCATTTTACACACCAGAGAATATCTTAATAAGAATATGTTTTAATGTGCACCAGTCATTTTATTTTAAGTGCATCACTTATTTCAGAAATAACAATCTCCCCTTTAAATCAGTTATAAACACCTGCCCATAACGTTCTTAAAGTCTATTTTTGTTTTATACACAATAGCATAGTGTTATTACATTATTATGTGCTACCAAAAGGGGTAGTGAACTAAAAATATTTTTCTATGTTATATGCATTATTTAAAAAAACATTTAAAGGCCAGTTATCAATATTTGTGCTAATTCAAAGTAAAAAAAAAATCTAGCTCAAAAACAATTTTCCATAAGTCTTTCTAAAAATTTCCATAATGCTTACTTACTTCCACAAAGAAGGTAAGAAAAGAGTTTACTAAAACTTACACCCTTTGGAATATCTTTATAGGAATGTGCAGATTATTAACTGCAAACTGTGATCTTTCTTTCTTTCTGTCTGTCTCTAAACACACACACACACACACACACACGCACACACACACACACCCCAAATAATAATACCAGTAATAGAAACATCACTGAAATACTAAGATCTTAAAAGCAGCTTTACCACAGCATTCATGTCTCTGTTTTCAAGTTTCTCCTTATGAATGAAGACTCCCTTATGTGTATTATAGGAGACCTAAACTCTGGAAATCAGAGTAAACACAGGAGTATGGGCTTAAAAGAAAACTAAAAATAATACTAAAAATGTCAAAGAGGCATGTGTAACTCACTTACGATTAGCACTCTATTATGCATTCTAACCTATTTTCAAGCAAAAATTTTATTAAATCATTTAGAATATTAATCATCAGAATGCTGCGCTCTAAAATCAACTCAGACCTCACAACTATTATGACACTTTTCTCCTTAGTTTTAATGTTACCTTTCACAGACAAAGGACAACATCTAAACAGCAGCAGACCCTTGCAGCGTCTAGAATTCAAAGGAGTGACAAACTTTCTTGTAAGGAACTTGCTATGTTCCACCATTTATTTGCAGAGTGTCAGACTCAGTTGTTATGTGTGGGAAAGTATTCTACACACATACATCCTAACATATAATAGATACATTGGGAAGCCGTACACCTAGTCACCCCATGGTAAATAATACTTTGCCAACAGAGTATTAATGAAGCTTCGGAAGGCCTCCCATTTAGAGAAATCAAGTCATGATGTGGCATTAAAGCTTGATCTCCCCGTCAGAAGTTTTATTTTCACATTGTTCATGTTAAAAAATAATCGTCAAACTTTAGCACGTTCGTGGCCCAGTATATTTAACCGAATCTAGAGATGTTTTCATCCAGGGGTATAGCTTTAAAAGGAAGTTATGAAATTGGAGAAGAGATAAGCTCTAAGAACAATACGTTTGACTTGTTAAGATTAAGCATGTCATTAATAAACTTTCCCTTAAAGGTAAAAAAAAAAAAAAATCCTCCAAAGTTGGTATCATTTCCAGACTGTCCTGTCAGCATCATAACTTACAGGAAACGCTTCATCTTCCCATACAAACCCTGTATTTATTCACAGCCCTGGCATACTTGGGGAAAGCAAAAAAAAAAAAAAAGCCCACACCATTTTAGAGCTACTTTGCTTTTTTACATTAAGCGGTGGAATATCTGAGAAAGCGTTCTAAGCAAATGAGCAGCATGTAAGAAACTTCACAGCAGTGAGCTCAGAAACTTTCATTCTCATTTTGTCCACGTCAAGAACTGGCCGCCCGCATTACTTTCCTTTGCTGCCCCTTGCATTTTCAACTCTGGCAGGCTTTTCTAAATGATCAACTTTTCCTAAAACCAGCAGGAAAGTAACATGATGCCAGCAAGATCCATAGGTTTTAACTTAAGAGCTGGTGGACTTTGAAGTAGTGGTTAGAAGGTTCCTATTTTATTTTTGCTTTGAACAACCAAATTTTAGCCAACTACCAGGCCTAGAGTGATCACTTCTTTGTAATTCTGTCTCCAGCTCTATCAGTATGTTCCCTCTGTGCTTATTTTTCCTCTCAGACCCTTCCCTGTTCACCTGGTCCATTTACAAAAGTTCGGTGAATCTACAAAAGTTCAGTGGATCAGCCCAACTTCTCTGCGATTTAACTTCTCCGCTAAGCTTCTCACTTCACTTACCTCACTTAAAACTCTAGCCGTGATTGTCCAAAATAGGATAAGGATGAACATTCTATCACAATTTTGATTCATCAATTAAGATCCATCGCTCTTACTCAAAAACTTTCATAGTATCAATTCTGAGGCCTAAAAAGATATGAGGAAGTAAAGCAAGACCTAAAATTTAATCAGCCCAAGATTCCCTCTGAAGCCCACCAGTCCTCGCCTTCTAACTTAAATTGCTTTAGAGTCTCAGGGCCATAAAACAGTTACTGACCTCCCTGGGGAAAGAGGGAAACACCACCATCTCACACAGGTACTAACAAAACAGCTTTCCCAGCCACAAAAACAGCTTTGCACTTCAAACAGCTCCCACCTCCGCCTCACCCTCAAATTATTCATGGGGTCCTATAATCCTGGAGTTATTTGAAGGGACAGCGGTATTTGCCTTGGCCTTTCAAAGATGCGTTTCTCTGGAACCCAAACAGGAACTAGACAGAAGGCGAAGCGCCCGTCCGCCTGGATGTCCCACCGCTGTCAGGCACTTAATCACCGTCCAGTGTCCGCTGACCCGCGACACATGGCGCATCATCCGCACCGCAGAGGAAGTCTGCCCCTTCCTCAGCCCCTACGGGAGCGCCCGGGCTTCAAGGCCCTGCCACATGGCACCGACAGGGCGCAGACCCCTCGGCCGAGCTGCCCCGAGCCGCGCAGAGGCGGGTGCATCAGGGGATGCGACACCCGCCTTCCCCAGCCCAGCTGGGCCTTTAAGGCAAAAAGTTTGAAGCCTGGCTTTGCAAACTCTTCAAAGCCAACGCCAGTCCCGTGCTGGTTTCCCACTCTGGGGACCACCCGAAGGCCCCTCTCGGAGGACCTCCCGACCCTCCCAAGTGGGCCCAACTTACTACTCTGCATGCTGGTGCCTAGTCTGCTCCCCGCTTGTCAGGAGCCCCAGAAAACTTGCGGCGGCGGCGGCGGCGGCGGCGGCGGCGGCGGCCCCTCGGGTCCAGCCACCTCCAGCTCCTCCGCTGCGCCCGGTAGGAGAGAATTAAAATCAGCCAGAAAGAGACAGCGAGGGGGAGTGGGGCTGCGAAGGGGGAGGGGGCACCGGCCTGAAACTTCTTTTTTTGGCAAATGGGGATTTGTTTTTCCTCCTCCCTGGCGGCTGAACTTGACCCTCCTGACTCCAGGGGCTACTGTAGTTTGAAGTCGCTCGTTTCTAAGACTCAGTTGTTTCAGACCCACCAAAAGGAGGAGAGGAAGGGGGGGAAAGAGAGCAGAAGGGAAGAAAGAAAGAAAGAAATCACACGCGCAAAAAGGAAGAAAGAAAATGCATGTGAAACCCGAGAAGCCTGCGCTTGGCTTTCTGCACACTCTCCCTCTGCTTTTTTTTTTTTTTTTTTTTTTTCTCAAAGAAAGTCACTTTTAATTCCCAGGGCTCCCCGCTCGCGATCGCCCACATTTTGCGCACACACGCGCGGACGCAGCACTCGCGTCGCGGCGACCCGGGCCCGGCCGAGGGGCGCCCGCGCCCCCCGCCGCCCCCGGCCCCGTGGCCCGCCCGGGCCCCTCCTTACCTGTTGATTAATCGTCAAGAACACCCTCGGCAGCCCGAAAGATGGTGGCGCGGCGGCCAGAGCCATGAACCGTCTTCTGTTGTTTGCAGAGTTGATCTTGGATTATTGGGGGGGAGGGGGGGAGAAAAAGGTCTTTCCTGCCTCCCCCCCTTTCCCTTCCCTCCCCCCCTTTATAAAAAAAAAAAAAGAGAGAGAGAAACAGGGAGAGAGAGAAAGAGAAAGGAAATAGAGCAAGGATGTGCCCGGTGCCGGGTGAGAGAGGGGAGGGGGGTGTTGTTTTTTGTTTAAAAAAAAAAAAAAATAGGAAGGCGAGAGAGCGATCGAGAGGACGCGGGGTCTGGAGAAACGAGCAGCACCAGAAAGAGGACGCTTGAGATTGCAGTGAGATCGGGTCTTTATCAGAAATGTTATCGCTTGTCAGGACCTCAGTCTCCGCGCATTACGTCAGTTTCAAGACACCAACACTATTAATATCAAAGGAGCCTTCGCGGAGGAAAGCGCCACCCCAGACCGAGCTCCCTTAAAGAGACAGCGCGCGTCCCCGCGCCGCCGCCGCCGCCGCCGCCGCCGCCGCCGCCGCCGCCCCGCCCGGCTCCGAGCACCCGCCGCCGCCGCCGCCGCCGCCGCCGCCGCCGCCCGCCGGGACCGGCCCCGGCCGCGGCCAGCCGGCTGCGCGAGAACTTCGCCCGAGTCGGAGCGCCGCGAATGAGAGCTGCGCGGTGCCTGGACGCGGCTACCTTCCCGCCCCGCCTCTCCCCCCTCCTCCTCCCCCACCCCCTCGTGTGAACGTGCGGGCTGGAAACCGAGGAAAGAACCGAAAGCTTTAGGAATAATGTGATAAAGACGAGGACCTACCTTGGGGGGTGGGGGTGGGGGGGCAGGTGGGGGCGGGTGTGTGGCGGCCAAACCGATGGTACCGGAACCCCTGGAGATGCTATCATGAGCAATCGAAAGAACTCTAAAAGTGCTTTTACCTTTCGGATGTTACTTTCCCTTCTCCCTCCCAATTAAACGACGCAGAAGTGTGTGAGTGTGTGTGTGTGTGTGTGTGTGTGTGTGTGTGTGTGGCCCTTCCCCCGCCCCTTTTCTAGGACTGGAAGAAGTCTTAGGACACCTAGTCGGTGGTCAGTGTTTCCCATGCATTGGATGGCGAGAGGGCTTGAGGAGAACAACTTGAACTCTATCCTGAGTTGGAGAAGTGCGGACTGAGGTTGCTATGGTTTTCTGAGCTGGGGAGAGGCTAACCAGCTCAATGGGTGCTTAAAGGGGGTACTACAAAATAGATAAAATGGGAACATTATTTAAATACTGCAAGATTAATACCTGCTGATCTTTGGGGGGTTAGTAGCAGATAAGGAACTCTGAATTAAAGCATGACATTTTTTTTTTTTTTACTACTTCACATCTCCAAATACTCTCATTGTTAAGTGAAATTCCCTCCACATGAAGTTCCTGAATTGAGCGGGGTTTTTTCTTTTCTTTTCTTTTCTTTTTTTTTCCCTTTTTTAACCTCTAAAGATCAACAATGCATAAAAGAGTACCATGACAGGATTCAAAGTATAGTAGGTGTTAAAAACTAAGTAAACATTTCTTGGGCGTTTGGACTTCATTTTCTTCAGTTGGGTGACTTTAAGTGGCATGTTTTTCCTCTAGTGAAAGTCAGTTTAAGCTAATTTTGTGCTAAAAGGAGAAGCATCCTTCCTTCTCCAAACTACAAAATGATTAAAATTAGAATTTTAGAGGTACAATCATGAATCTGTGAAATGAAGATGAAGTAATTTCCTCCAAAATATTTTCCCCTAAATGATTCTTGCATCTTTTAAAAGATGAAAATATATTTTAGAAACCTCAGAAGTGAAAAAGCCAATCATAAAAAAAAAAAAAATAACACTTAAACATGTGCTTTTAGAAACTTCTTTTTCTGTAGTCTTCATTTCTACTTAATATACCTAGTCAGGCAGATACGTGATTTCTTTCTGTAGCACTTTTCTTCCAGAAGAAATTTGGTAGCGTGTCCCATACACTCTCTATGAGTACAAAAGCAATATTTCTTTTGCAATAGGAAAACTAGTCAGGTAAAAGAGTAGTCAAAATACAATTTCACAATGAGGCAAACTATATATTCCCTCAAGGAGTAAGAAGACAATGAGCCTCAGATGCATGGAGTTATTCATATGTTATCATCAATTTAAATTAATTTGAGAACAGAGTTAGATTTATGTATAGTTCTGCTTCCTGGGAAAATTAATATCAAAATCTTGAGTAAATCTCATAGTCAGCTACTAATGACCACCTGCATATTTCCACACTAGAGTCATTTAATACTGTCCACCACCAATTTCCACTATAAAAAATATTCATATATTAAATATAGACCTTTATTTTCTTTTTTAAGCTATAAATTAGCTTACCAAGTTTTATGGAAATATGCACAGCACAGTGAGAGGCATTTTTATTCAGGGAGAAAAAAGGATCTGAGTGAAACATTCTTTAGCCATGACTAACTAAAAATATGAGATCAAATAAATTTTGAAATAGGCATCTCAATAGTAAAACCAGTTGTACTTATAAAGGGTTAAAACCACCTAAAACTGCTGGAGCTGGTATCTAACTGATAAAATCTGAGGCGATGGCATCTTAGCAGCAAAGTTAAATAGTACAATATATCACAAGGATTATCCCTAATCTCCTTTTGCTCCCCAAGACTTAAATGTCATTTTAAAGGGGGAAGTAATCTTCCTCTCCGTCACCCTCAAATCTAAGGCAATCGTGAAGAGTGTAAATTTACTCACATGAAACAATCATTGATTAAATTGGTTCAAAAAAAATTAAATTACATGCTTTTGCAAGCACAAAACCCTTGAGATGGCTGGTGTTTTTCCACCTGTAATAATACAACATTCAACCATTAAGTGTACCCAAAATTATATATTATATAAAAAGTTAAAGCCAAAGGTCTGAGGGTGAATTATGTCCTTTAATTGAAAGGATGAAGTTACCCTTCAGGTACTGAAGCCAACAAATTCATGGTCACTTAAAAATTTAATGAATGAAGTTTCACGGACTCAATTTTGCTGAAGCTTGCCTGGGAAATGAAGAATCTCTTCATGTTACTTTTTGTATTTCAAGTTAGAGTATAACAGATCAAAATGCTGTCTGTATCAATCCATTTACATTAGCCACAAAAGATCTGTAGAGAACTTAATAAAAGCACATCTACTTTTGTGAACTTTTTCAAGCAAATTACTTATTTATTTATGAAATAATTTATGAAGAAAATTTTTACCTCATGCTTTAGATACATTACATATGCTCTTGATTGACACAATATGTTTGAGCTCAAAGGCCCTCATAGCATTTTTTTAATTCTAGTAGGAATATTTCAAAACAACCAACTAATACATGAGATCATAATTGTTTGACAGTTGTTTTTAATATATAAAATAAGTTATGTATATTGTTTTTCTTCAAATGTTTGTTGATTTGTTTTTATAGTCCTGACATTTGCATGGCACAAAGTGAATTAGGGGAAATATTAAAGATTTATTTACATTTATTATCTTCTGCTGTCAAACATATGCAAAGCTCTTAAAACTATTCTCTTCTTTTGCTTTTATTTGCAATGTGTTTCTGAACAATGGAGCCTGAATGTGAAAATAACAACCTGTGCCTTTCTCCGATACACCAGAAAACAAAGAAGAAATTAAGAAAACATTTTAAAAGCAAACAAAAGAAATAACTTCCAAGTAAAATAACTTCTTCATAATCTTTCATACATCTTTGAATTCTGGAATGTTCTCTTATGGCTGGACCACTGATGAAACAGTGCCTTGAGCTGTATTAGGGCTTTCTGTTTATTAAAATTACATAATGCACTTTTTCTGTTTTACAATTTAAACATCCTTTTCTCCCCATTTCTTGTAGTTTATTCAGCAGAGATACAAAGGGGAATTAATAGTTAAGCACAAGCGTACTTGTTTAACATTTTCAACCTTTTAGCACATAACTTACTTACAGTTCCAGTGCCTGTAATCACAATGATTTTACCTGATGGAACACGTATTTCAGAAATGTAATCCAACTGTTTACCCTAACACGTCATAAATTGCTATCCCTTTCAGAAACCTCAAAGATTGACAACCGTTGGTCCTAAATGCCTACTGCTGTAACACATACTATCGAGAAAATATTTATGTATTATTTGCTTTCAAATTAGAACTAAATAATATAAAAGGAAGACCATTTTGGCTTCCAGCGAATGAAAAGCAATTGTTGAAGTAGTCTTCCCTCCTTGTTCTGACACCTAAAGGAACAGAGCATAGCAAAGATGAAGTTCCCTCAGTCTAATTCCTTCTCGCAATCACACAACACTCAATCTTAAAAAAAAAAAAAGACCGTTCTGCACAAATTATGATCATTTTCCAAACTACCTACTGCTGAACACCTCTGGGTGAATTTATTAAAGATAAATTCAGCTTTAAATAGCCTGTATCTGGTATTCAAATTCACACTTACACTTGCCAAACCTCCCCCCTGCAATATCAGGCAACTGCCTAGTTAAACAGATGGGCCTGCAGCCCACCCTAAAAGCCAACAAACATAGGCTTTATTTAATTAAAAGAGGAAACAAATTTCTGAGGTGTAGACACACACAGGCATGCACACACACATGCACACACACACACAGCATCTCTGCCAAAGGTGCACCAGAATAATAGTAAGGATTCTTGCTTTTGCGGTAGGTTTTATGAATATCCAAACATACACTATCCTTTGGATTGAAAGTGGAATGAAATAGGATCACTCAGGGCTGTGTATTCTAACCAAACCACTATGGGAAATAGCCAGACTCACTCCATTCTCTTAGGCATTTACATTTGAATTAACCCAGATCTACCTTGTGACTGAAAAGTGGGTATTTTCCTAATGTTCTTCATATTTCTACCCTCCCCTCCATTATCTTCTCTTGCTGTACTCTCTCATCCCATCCACTCTCCAAACTATGCAATTAACTCTCAAGTTGCATATACCCAAGCCTAGCACTCAATTTTGCCTGTTTGTCACGCTGAAATATTCTACCAGAAATTCAAATGTG